ATGATGGCCTGACAGCTAAAGCACATGGCTGCTGTTGGTTGGCAACCAAGTGAAACTTTGTTCCTTATTCAATTACTTTGGCTTAGATTTTGCTGCTGCTGCTGCTGCTGCCTCAAAGCTTGCCTGACTTTCGACAGCTCTCACAGTGTGCCGCGATAAGCCCGGAAAATTTAATAAGCACAAAAGTCATAGCAGCGATTCTCCACGGCCCGACTGGGCCTGTCTGATTGATAGACAGTTTGACAAAGCATTTTGTTGACGCTTCTGTTGCGCCTGCCAACTGGCCTGTTTCATATGCCCTGATATTGGGTGTAATAGTTTTGTGCAAATGTTGGCAACACTCAGAAGGAAATATCTCTGACGCCTTAAAGTATATACATTCAAACTAGCCATATTCATCTGTCCAGCTATCTGCCTGTTCGTCCGTCTATCTATGTGAACGCATTAATCCCACAAACTTTAAAAGCTACACACCTTAAAAATTTGAATATATGTATATTCCCTATGCCATACGCAGAACGAGCTTGTCAATTTTGAGATTTTTGTTTTGTTTTTAGCATAAGTAGAGAATTGTAGGAGCTATATACACCAAACTTGGTAGTAAGATTTTTGCACAGTACATACAGATTTAGAATATTTTACTTTTTGCACAAAATTCAGGAAAAAATATTAAGGATGGATCCGTAATATTTAGACATATTAGGCTGTCCTTTTTATGCGCTGAAAATTTCGTAACTATCAGATTATTAATACTTCAGTTGTTCAAGAATACATTTACCATAAAGTTCGAGAAGCAGAATTGCTTAGCTTGCTTGTATGCGTGTGTGTGTGCATGTATATAACCTGTCTGTGCTTTGTGTTTGTATGTATTAAAGTAAGCTAGAAAATCAGCTAGAATAGTTTCAATTAAGCTGCTGGCGCTGTGTACAGGGTATCTATTAGTCGGCCACTCACGACTGGAGTTTATTTCTTTGGTCAACGCCGTTGCCTCTTTTGTGATGTGGCTTACAGGAAATTCGCTTGCCTTTTGTCTATTATGTCAATCTCTAGGCCTTATCGAGCTTTCGACTTTGTCGCATTTTGGGCAAAGTTGCGTTTAGGCCAATTAGCCAACAGCTGTTGGCCAAATTTAATTGAATTTCGTGCAAATTTGATTAGTACTCAGCATTTAATCGATAAGCTGCCAAGCTATTTACTAATTTGATAAGTTGGCAAAAAAGTTTGGTGTGACCTGACGGCCGCACTTAGATCGGATTTCAGTGCGGCTTGTGGCAAGGGGCAAACTTTGACCCCAACTTGTGTTATTTGCTTCGCATGTTTGCTATTTGCCAACTCACGTGTCACATAAAAAACGCAACGACTTTGCCCCACACAAGCCACTTGTACTTGTGTGTGCTTTTGATACCCAGTAACAAGGGATTGGTACAAGCAGGCATTTTCCACTTTGTTAAATACAAGTATATCAGTTTATCTCGACATAAAAGCCTTTCACGCACTTTTGGGTGAGTTAACCAGAAATCGGTGAACGATTTCTGTTTTGAATTTCCGGGTATACCCTTGTATGAAGAAAATTACTCAGCAAGGCAACTATGAAATAGCTGTTATTATTCGAGTTTCGTGGGGATTTCCAAAGATTAGTTTACCACTCATTTTCCGCTCGTGGAGGTGGGTTGGCCGAATTCACGAAAGATATATGAAAAGAAAATGCATGTGTTTTTAAAGCCTATATATGTTTATTTATATCCCGGCGGAGGATTTCCTAAAATATAATATTATATAATAGTTTTATCAACAGTTTCTGCAGCTGTAGCTTCATTTTTCGCTTTTGGTAAAATGTGTGTGATATACATTTTTGCTTCCATTTTTAATCTGTAGCCAGAACATAATATTATTTTACCCACTGTTTCCGCAGCTGAAGAAGAATTTTTTGTTTTTGGCAGATGTGTATGATAGAAATTTTGGTGATTACTTTTTTAATTTGTAGCCAGAACATGAGTCGGAAGTGCAAAGACCAAAGCTGACTACTTTTGCTCGGCTTAGTATTTCGATATTAATTTCAGCTATACTTTTTCTACACAGTTTCCACTTGTAGCAGTGGATTTGTAGAAATCATTAAAAACTTATTGAAATGAATTTTTCACTTTGATATCTTTTAAATAGAATTTCAACTGAGCCTAATGCTAAATTAACTGCAGGGTATCTTCAGATTAAGCAAACTCTACCAAAATATTTGCGTTGATTTTTATTTGCTTGGTATGTGCCAGTATGTTTTTCCTAGGTGAATGCTTGTGCTGTGAAACCGCGCACTTGCATATCGAATGACCGCAACTGTTCGCATGTGTATATACTTTCTTAATAAATATATATGGAGGTATATATATAATATTTATATATTTATTTATTTTATGTGCATATTGCGCAGTTGTCGTAGCATTTGCCAGTCGGATTTCCATTGCTGTGGTTGCTGCTCCCGCTTGGCTTTTGATTTATGCAATTTTCTTTTACATTTCGCTTTCATGTAGAATTTATTTTGCTTTGAAAGGCAAGCGCTTTTCAATTTGAGGCTCATTAATGTCACTCAGGCGAGCCCCTGCGCTACCACAAAGCGCATTCAAGTCTCAGTCTACATGTTGCGCATACGCTTTTTTAATACCCTTGCAAAGGGTCTTATTATTTTGTCGCGAAACGGGTAATGCTTAGTAAAAGACGCATGGATATAGTACATAGATATTATTGAACTGTCTAAGCCGCAGAGCCTACAAATCAGCTCGTCTGTCTCTCGGTCTATTTCTATGCAATCAAATCTCTCAGCTTTGTATTGAAAACAAGCTCGGCAATTACAAGCTTCGCTGTCTGTGAGCAAGAGTATTTAATATTCGTTGTCTCGAACACAGTCCTGTTCTTTTGTTTTATAATACCTTAGTAGCTGGCGCTTTGGGACGCGCACATAATTTGCAGCCCTCAATAATGTTGACAACGCAAATTAACGGCTACATAAAAAGTTGCTCTCGGTTGGCTGCGGCGGACAGCTTATGCGACAGATTAGCATATTTTAAAGCTGATGTCGCGTTTTATGGAGTCCATTTTTTTGCGTTCAAGTTTTCTGAATTTCACACACAGAAATTCACAATTGCCTCTTGTGTGCGCACTTTCACACAGACACACACACATGCGAGTATTAGCAAGTTTGCTCTGTGGCCTTCGCGAAGGCAGATTTCACTATGCCTTAAAAAGACGCTTGATTGCGCGCGAATCAAGTGGGGAAAGTGGAAAAGTGTACGGAATAAGAAAAGAACGAAGAAAAATCTACTCACAATTTCCGGCACTTGAACTTCTTTTTTCGTCCGCAAAGGCAAAAAGAGTATATTCGTTAAAAGTAGAATGTGCCCGGCTCTCTATATATGTCAACGATATATTTTTTTGTTAACAATATGCAAGCAATGATAAAGATATTTTCGTATCGCCATGTAAAGATGGACCTTCTAAAGTATATTCAGATCAAAAATATTGCATTTGATACTGGTCGATGCTCACGAAGCACAATTAAAAAATTGCTTGGAGATACAACCCTAAATTTCGATAAATGAAAACATTATAGTCGTATCTATAACGGCTGAAAATTAAAATGTTAACAAAAAAAAAACAAAAATTTTCAAGAATCAATTTATTATTGTATGGAGCGGAGGGTGAAGAGAAAGCAAAATTAATATAAATGCTTCGTTTCATTTTGGGCTTCTACAAATGCTTGAGGCTTGAAGTGTCAAATATATATTCTCAATTAACGCGCTTATAAATTTCTTTCAATATTTTTCTTTCTTTCAGTATTTTTCACGCTTTTCATAATATCGATAAATAAAGATTTTGTGACTTGGTTTTTTATGCAAAGCTCGACAAATGTAAGAGTAATATATGCTAATCTTGGCATGTTGGTCTCGTATAGCATATACGGATTACGAATATTTTGCAACTTATTTTTCAAGGTTGAGCCTTGTGTTTTTGTATATCTACACTCCAGAGCAGAGAAGCAGCGTCTGTGTGTTTGTGTGTGAAGAGAAGTTAGAATGCTTATGATGTCAACTTGTCGCTGGCTGCAGGGTATCCCCTAGTCGGGCACTACCGATTGGGCACATTGTTTCCGTTTTTTTCGTATGCCGCAAAAAAAGCGCATAAGTAAAGTTGTGCAAAAGTAAAGTTTATAAAAATTTTCTTACAACAAAAGTTTTAAGCACATGAACTTTGCTGAGCTTAGCTCGGTTTTTATGTTGTTGTTGTTGTGATTCCTTCTACTTTTTTCTATATCAGCTTATTATGCGAAACTTAAATTAATTTATGAAATAGCTGGTAAAGATTGACAGGCAGTTGGTTGGGCTGCAAAAGGCAAAAGTGAAAGTTGCTGAAAGCTGGTAGTCTCACGAGAATTTTCTGGTAATATATTTAACAAATTTGGCTGAAAGTTAGTTTCTGAGCCCAAAGTAAAACACAAATATTTGTAATATTATGACAAAATTCATTTTCTTCCCTTTCTGCTCGCTCAGTTGTCGCGTTCGGGATATACTGCGGGAACATAATCAACTGCCGAACGGCATCGATACGCTGCGCCTGCCCAAGCGACTGCAGCGCTACATAGACCTCACCGAAGAGCTGGAGGGAACGGAGCTGCAGCACCAGCAGCCACAGCCGCTGCCCGAGAAGCCAATGCAGCGGCTGACAAGCGCCATGCAGCGACTGGACACCATCAGCAGCAGCGGCGCAGAGAGCGAGGATGAGAGTGAGAATCATGTGCAGCTGCTGGAGGCAGTCACCGATGCTGAGAAGGCAGCTGTCGCCGCCTTTATGGCCACTGGCGATGGCGCCATCACCGACGAGGCCAAACAAGCGGCCGTTGCCGCCTATGTGGCAGCCAACGAAGCCGGCCAAGCCCCGCAAGCCCCGCAGAGTCCGTCCCACCCGCCTCACCCGCCCTCGCCAATAAGCTAACTATAAAGTTATGTTACACTCACCGGTAGGTCTCCTCGCTTATGTTTATGCGACCGGGCACGCCGGTAGTCTCGGTGCGGCTCGTCAGGTTGACGGTGTTGCCAAAGAGGCAATAGCGCGGCACACGATTCCCGATGACGCCGGTGACCACCTCGCCCGAATGGATGCCAATGGTGATTTGCTGCGTTGGGGTTGAAAGAAAAAAGGCAAATATTTAAGACATTATGTACAGGACAAGCGAAGCTCTTTAATTTCTAATTGATTTACTGAATAAAATGTAACTTAACACCCAGCCAAAAAGTATGCGCCACGCGCAGATTACCAAGTCCAACACTTCATTGTGCTAATAAAGTTTCAGCGCAAAAAATAAGAGGTAAAAACAAAAAAGATGAGTAAAACCCTCAGCGAAAGCCAACAAAAATGGCTCAAGTTCTGCACGAAAATGTTCCAAGTTGCAAGTTCCAAGCCAAACCAAGGAAAAGTTGCCACAATTACTTTGAAAAAGTTGCAGTTGCCACTGCCATTGCCTCTGCTGCTGCTGCTGCGGTGGCCAAAACTTTGCTTTAATTAAATTTAAAACGAAATGAGCTGCGGCTGCGGCAAAGTACCAAAAACTAGAAACCAAAAACCCAAAAAGCAAAAGGCGACAATTCTCCGTAGGTGACGTTGCCAAAAATGGTCAGGAATGTGTAGGTGTGCAGTTGGGTAGTTGGGAAGCACGTGTGCTTGGCTAGAGTTTCAAAGACTAACGTTGAAAAGCTACAATTGCAACAACAATACATAAGACTGGAGTGGTTGGCTAGGAGTTACCCTTTACCTTAAAGCTTCTTGATAAGTTTTTGGGCAAATAAATGTTTTTAACTATCGGAAATATAGTTCATCTCTATGTAAGATGTCTTACTGTCCTCCAGGCGAAAAGCTTTTGAAATATCACAGGAGTCAGTCACTTGCTACGGTAGGAAGATATGAAAGCGATAGAAAAGCGATATCGCCAGCTATATAGGATAGCTAAGTCAGAGTCGGAGCGACGCAAAATACTTTCAGACTACAACAAAGGATATTATAAACTTCCATCCATCTTTTAATACAATAAAGTTTTGATACTCTTGTGCCAGGCTTGCAAGCAAAATTAACTTATATTATAGTGCGCCACTTTTTTCGTAAGCAAGATATGAAACCGATAAATAAACAATATCGACAGCTATGCGAGATATCTACGAGCTGAGTGACCTTCCAATATTTCACGAAATGGAATGCAAATGCACGGTATATACTTACATATATGTACAAAAAGTATCGGCAATTAAGCAACCTCTTTACCCTCGTATGATTCTCTACAGGGTATTGAAAAAACATTACGCTGCAGTAATTACGTGTCTTAGTTTAGCCAATAGAACAAGAGAGGTCACACAAGAGTGCAATGTGGGGAAAACTGTCGAAAACTTTGCTCCATTCATTTGGACAGCATTGAAAAGCGAAGCCAAGCTTTTATGGTTTTATTTTTAGTCCCGAATTGCATCTTGGTTGTATCCAGAAACTACGTGGTAAGTAGATCAAATCAATGCCTGGCCGACCATCTGGCAGCAAAATGCAATTTTGATAAGTGAGTTTAGCACGAGAGGGAAGTTGTTATAGTCTCCTCCTCTGTCTATCGCTCCATTTTTCTATATCTAACAGTGGATATTGGAAAAAAGATCAAAGCGGTAAACTAACTTTAAAGATACCAGATATTGCTTAAATCTGATATGCCGTTTAATAGCCGCGAAAGTCTGTAGAAACGATTTGAAGCAAACATTATTTAATTCAAAACCAAGCCAATTGTTGTACAAATTATAATTTACATTTGCTCAATTTAGCCCAATCCTTCAAGGTTTTCTTTTAATGCGCATCGATGTCCCTGACCCGTATGTAATTATTTGTTGGAGATATTCGATTTAATATACCCGAGAAATTCGAATTTGAACATATTTGAGAAACCCGAAATGACTTAATACGGACAACATTCTTTGGTAGTTGAGTTGTCTGAGTAGGTCAGTCCTTCGGAATACTGAACAACGAGCATCTAGAGTCGTATTCCAAGCACATCTATGTAGCTTTTGCGAAGATATGCATAGAAGTCTGTCCAAGTAACCCATTGCGGCTTTCGCTGCTCATACTAATTTCCTTTATATAAACTGTCTCGCGCGAATCCCGATGCAATGAGCTGCATCCCACTTCCCCCCCAACCGACCGATGCCGCAGTCGTGTAACGTACGACACGAGTCGCGAAGTACAAACACGAATACAAACTAAGACTATAGACTGAGACTATATACTTGCTAAATAGTTTGGAATATATGACTTTAATGAGGAAGAGAAGCCCAAAAATAGAATGCTCTGTAATGCTTGCTGTATTAATAAAATTTTGTTTGAATTTAAAAAAAAATCATATTTTGATTTGAATTTAAACATTTGTATTGTTTTTTGTTTGATATATCGTTTATATCGTCAAGCATTATATATCGAGCCTAATTTAATTGAAATGTGATTTTTTTATATCGGGGGCTCGAACCCTAAAACCCACGCAACGGCACATGTAGCTCACTACGTTCCGTTCTTGTTAAGGCGATATCGCCAACGACAAGGAAATAGGAAATGATATTACTCCAACCAATTATTACAAACTTAGCATTTAAATTAAGCGACTTCTCTTACCCTTTTTTGCTTACCTAACTGATAGACGCAATTGTTGCACATTTTGTAGGGTATGTTCAGAATATGCAAGCGTAAATTTATTTCATCTAGTGTAGCAATATTTATTGATTGCAAGCAGCTGGCAAAATGAAGCAAGCGAAAAGAAAACTTTTGGCTTGGAAAATAGCGTTGCATAATTGGCTTCATAAAATGTGGGCGGGGTGAGGGGCTCTGCCGGGCATAGTATTGTGTTACATTTTCATTGTATTCGCAGTGCGATTTTCCGTTTTCTTCATTTTTTTCCCCCATTCTGTTTGTTATCAGCAGCTAATGAAGCGCGAAATAGCAGAGCAACATGGCCCAGAATGCTGTGGGCTTTGTTAATTGCATTTGGAACTATCTATCAGGTTGGCTCGTTCCCTGTCGAAAGGCAAACGAGTTCTGTCTGCCTGTCGTTAGAATTTCGATTTTTTTTTTGGCGTTTTCTCTTACTTGGTTTGTTTTTTTGTTGCCCTTGGCAGTCAGTCGTGCGCATCTGCAGGCTGCACATGCATCAAAGTCGACGTGCAGCAACAGCAACAGCAGTCCCAACGGTGGTCAGCTGCTGAGCAGTAGGAACCTGGTTACGTGCATCCGGCTACATAACCAAAAGCAATCACTCAAAATATGAGAAATAGTGTGGCAACCGCAGTAGTTCACTGCAGTCGTGGCATGCAACTCGAGTGCGAGATGGATGGGCATGGCTTAAGGCACAGTCAACGCCCGAAGGTGGACGTTTTAGGGGCTTGGAAATGGATATTCTAGCAGAAGCAACTTTGACAATAAAACCAAGCGACATGAGCTGAGCATTCGAGGACGACTCCCTGCCCCATTCACTGTGCCTGCTTGTGTATGTAGTTATGGCATGTTGCGCGCACACACATACATGCTGCAAGTTACTGTGACAAACCACAAGCATTGTCCACACGTACGACAATGCTGACGTCGGCGCCGGCGCCGGCGCCGCTGCTGCTACCGCTTGGCTGCTGTAATTGTGAAGGCTGCCATCAAGTGGGCATCCCCTTGTCCTGTGTGTGCCTGCGTACAAGTACACATATCCCTATATACATAACTGTCGTATATTTTAAGCTCAAGCACTCAAAGCAAAAGTGTTTAAGCCCACAAAAAAAAAGCAGAAAACCAAAAGAGAAACTGTTTTCCTTCCTTGGCCGCAGATTAAATACCCTTACGTGCGATGCGTTATGTACTCTTAATGCTTGGAAACTTATTTAAATTCCTATGGGAGCTACATGAGAAAGTAATTCGAGCTTAAAATTATTTTACTCATGTGTTAAGAGCAAAGTGAAACTGTGTTGGATCTAAATATCTTGAAAGGAAATTATGCTTTTCAAAGTATATTTCGAAGGTTGGTGGCAACGGAAGCTATATAATATAATCATCGGATCCGGCTGACGCTAATCTATGCTTTGACTTTAGTAATATCAAGAAAGAACGTCAATGATTAACTAACCTTGTAAGTCGAAATTTTAGAAATGCTTTTGCAGCTTTACTTTCGACTGATTTTTCTTATAGAATATGTATAATATATTACTCCAACTAAATACATTTTGCAGATATGCTAGGAGAATTGTGGGGCATGTAATTGCCAAACTATCAAAATGTTTTGAAAAACCAGATATACAAGAACTTAATTTTAGATTGATCAGGACTATGGTATATACGATTATGACTATATACATATGATATATTGAACCGATTCGTTTGATTCCATAATAATAAAAATTTAAAAAATGTATTCATACCAAAACTGTTCAGAGATGTCGCTAATGCCTTTTAAATTTCATGCAACAATTAAGATAGACTTTGCAAAGGCAGGCCACAGCTCGACGGTCGACGGTCAAGTGGCAAAGGCTGCCAAGGTCTTAGGGAAGAGGGCTGGAGAGAAATGGGGATGGGAATGGGATGGCGGACCGACCACGTCATACAACTTGATGGCCGTCCTTTGACATGGTGTCATCAATTTGGAATTAATTTTAGCAATTTACACAATTTGCCACAACTTTTGCACCAGCAACTTTTGCAGCAGATCAGCTTTAGTTTTTTTTTTGATTGTCTGTTTTTTTTTTTGCACGCTTGTTAATATTTTACGTGCTTCTCATAAGGCAATCTGTGTGTCTGTGCCCCATTGATATTTATGCACCATTGAATCGTTGTTGCCGCGCCGCTGCTTAAATGCAATCAGCAACAAATTGCGCGCAACTTATTCAAGTTGCAGCTTCACACGGATGCGCAACACAGAAGTGTGTGTGTGGGGGGGGGGGGGGGGGGGGGGTCAACTTTCAAATGCTTTCAGTGCGCACAATTAGAAGGCTGGCAGATGACTGTGCCCCTGCTACAAAATGCCCCCGCAGCACTTGAAAACTTGCTTCAAGCATTCATTTAATACTGTCGCGCCTCTGGCGTAGACCAAGTGTGCAACAGACAGCGAAACTTGCAACAGCCGTACAAATAATACAAATTTGTGTAACATTTTCACAAAACTTGTTTGCATAAATTAAAAATATGTAAGCTTTTTGCGCTTTTTTATCTTTTTAATTTACTTAATTTCACAAATTCGAATTTAACGAGCTTAACTGAATGAGAATTAACCATAAACAAGTTGTTACATTTCCAACATTTAAAGCTTGTATCGAATATCTTTAAGGCTGAATGCTGCAAAGGTTGAAAATAAATGACGGAGCAACTTATAACTCATTTGATTGTTGTGTTACGTTTAATTGGGTAAAACAATTAATTTGTTTAGAGGCACATTAAAGTGAAGAGGAAGGCATTTCCGAACACATTAAGTAATTATATGCTGGATTAGTACCAAGAAGTAGTACTGAATTGATATCTTAAAACTATTCGATAAATGAAACTTTCAATAAATGTTCTCCTATGCCAAACGCAGAGGGAGTACATTACGTTCCTTGCACGTACTGGAGGGTACTTGAAAAATATCGATAAATATCGATTTAGAGACACCGTTTTTAGGCACATTTCGAAAATTATAAGTGCTAGACACACAAAACTTGGCATTAGGACGGATGCTCTCCTCATTTTCTCCAAAATTTCTGAAAAACTCATTTTCATAACGTTTTGGGGCTTAACAACTATTATATGCCATGCTTAAGACATGAAAATTGTATAAAAAGTGTAAGTCAAAGTAAGCGACAATGTTTGAAACGGCCTGGTATCTCCCAGTCGGACACTCCCGACTAAAGTTTATCTAAGTTGTTGCTTACTTACCACCGGATTTGAGCCCATTTTGACATTCTTGGCCATATCCATCATATCCAAAGCGACGCGCGCCATACACTTGGCATGATCCTCACAATGATCTGGCAGACCCGAGACGGCCATATACTTATCGCCCACAGTTTCCACCTGGAAATGACACGAAACACGTGTGTGAGAATATTGAAAATTTGAATTCATCCGGCTGTCTGACAAATTGACAGCTGACCTAAAAGCGGCTCTGCAAATTGCTTGACCCGGTTGAGCTAAGCCACATTTCGTGGGCGAGCGGAAAATTGTAATTAAGTGTCAGGTTGATATGAACGATTTGACAGCCATTAGTGGCGCATCGAGGTGAGAGCATTCAGTGAGCGTTCTTCATCAAAATATACATACGTTTATATATATATATATGTCAAATACACTTACTTTGTAGACATTCAGGTTGCGCTTGGAGTCGGTGAGCGCGTCAAAGACGGTGTAGAGCTCGTTAAGCATTTTTACAATTTTCATGGCACCCTCGGGATCTGTGTTGGCTGCACAATATTGCCCGAAGCCCACAATGCCAGAGAACATCAGCGTTACGGAGTCGTAGCTGTCAAAAAATATATGTGCATTAAATAAATTGCGCAAATAGCAAAATGTTTGTGGCCATTGGGCGGGCACTGGGAACAAGTGTTGGGTGCGAAACTTCCTGAGTCCTGTATCCATCTAACCCATTTCGTGTCTAAGAGCTGAAGATTTGTCTGAATACATGCCACCAAGTATCAACTAGTTAGCTAAATTTAACGCGGTTAAGCGAGACTATTTAAAATTAAACACGAATGCGCATGGCGTAACTTTGGCAGACGGAAACTGGTGTTGGGCGCATGAATCGATTTAATCAATTTTGTATTAACTAGCTTCCGCGATCAACATAAGTAGGCATGACCTTGATTTTACACGAATTAGCAGAACCCATACAATATATTTACGGCCTTTGGGAGCATGCTGTGACGTGGCGTGTTAAATTTTTAATTTTCGTGTCTAAAAATTGAAGATTTGTGTGAATACGTGTTCAGAAATATCAATTAGTTTGCACGATTCACAAGACTAAGCACGACTTAGCTCGATTAAATAAGACTAAGATCGAATTTTAAAATTTATGTATGATTACACACGACGTTACGCATGTCGTAATAACAACTAACACGATTTAAAAAGATGTTAATGCCTTTAGGTGCAAGAATTCATTTATTTAATTTCGTGTCTAAAAACTAAAAACTGTGCGAGTACGTGTTGGCAATTATCAACTAGTTAGCAAGCCTGACTAATCACCTAAGCACGAATTAATTTTATTAATCACGATTGCATTTGACTTGAAAGGAATTAGCGCGACGGATTACGATCCAGAACTTTATGTTTGGACTTTTGTGAATCGATTTTTAAGATTTCGTGTGTAAAAACTAAATGTATGAATTAGTTTGCTTCATCAATAAGACTCAGCACTGTAAGCATTACTCAACATCACTTAACACGATTTATTCTCCTTGAACACGACGATGTTCTATCAAACACGACTTAACACGAGCTATTACGACTTGGCATGATTATAAACAATGATATTTTTGTTGTTTGAAAAATATTTAACAAATGTGAGCAACTTATTAAATCCGAGTCGTGTCCTTTTGTTAAGCGTCGTGTCGAGCAGCATAATATCGGGGTTAGGGCTATGGCTTACCGTTTGGGCGGCACTGGACGCTGATGTCGTAACTCATTTGCCACAGACTTGGGCAGCACCGAGTAGAGCAGCCTAACCAGGAGCGAGAGCAGCAGCAGGGAGGCAACAAACGATAAACAAATGGAAAGAAAATGTTCGAGTAATTTTAATTTCGCGCCTGAAAGCATGCAACGATTTCCATTTTTTTTGTTTTTTCTTATCGTGCGCTCACTCTAATGTGTTTCTATTTTTGTTACGCTTTACATCATTTTTCTTACCTGTCCGTTTTCTGCTTCTCACTCTCCAGATCGCGAAACGTTTGCTGTAGCTTATCCGTCAGCATTTCCAGATTTTTGGTCAGCTTGTATTCAGCCTCGAATTTCTCAGAAAGCAGCACCAAATCTCTGGCCGCATCGTGCAGCGGCACATCCGAAATGTAGAGTCCCTTCCTACAAGAAAACAAAAAACGTTGTGTGTGTGTGAGTCGAATCGAAAAAAAATGACGCGCATTTTATTTAACTTAAGTCTGTTTGGCTTTAGCTTGGTTTCTGCCGGAGCGCTAGCAAATAAAATAAAATATGTACCCGCCAGCAGTAGAGCTCAAGGGTGAGCTTTGGGTGTGCGCGCGTGTGCGAGTGTGTGTGTGTGTAGGGGGTCTTACGTCAGGTGAAGCAATACATATTTACTGTCACCAATAAATTTTAGCGGGATATTTGCCATTTCTTTCAATTTAAATGCACAAATTATAAACAACAGCCATAAACTGTCAGCGGCTGCTCTATAAATCAAAATTTGAAGAAACAATTGCAAATTGAAATACTTTAAGAAATTTTAAGTCAACCGAGATATAGGATATTTAAAGTACACAAAATAACTGGAAAATATGGAAATTCAAAAACAAGGCATGTTTCATTTGCACAATATTGTAAGATAAAAAAGCAGCAGGTCATGAAATTGCTGCTGCCATAATCAGTGATTGTCATGTATTAAGTAAACAAGTGTCTGTTAGCTTAACTTGAAATTGTCTACAAAATCACGCCTATTTCTTTTTCACTGAATTGGAAGGCCAAGTAATAGCAAAACATAAAATTATTGTTGTTAATTTCAGTAATTGGTATGCTTAAAGTAAACAAATTTTCTTTGTGTTTCGACTAGAAAATATTTGCATATAAAATTTAGACACCTTTCCAGTTCTCTATTATGGAAGGCATTAAATTGCCGCTACTTAAATCAGCATATTTTGTTTTTCATTCTTTAGTATGTTTCTTTTAGCATAGCTTTTTTTTGTGCTTAGCTTACTTTCAACAATTTTCTGATATTTTATTAAAGTCAATTTTAAGAAAAATATATAGATGCGACTGCTTTCTTTAAAATAAATAGTTAATTATTTACTCACTTGGTTAGATCATCCAAATTCATGACGCTCGGATAGCACTGAAACAATATGCGATCTGTTTCTGGTATATACATCATTTGGCCCTAGAATATGGACAAGAAAAAAGCTGAGCAAAGAATACGGCAAAAAATAACACACACACATATAATTATCATAAAAATTACGTTTATGCAGCATTTTGTGGCAAGTCACATTAAATTTAATGCAATACCATTTCAGTTTGAATTTCTATGGCGGCGGCTGTGCTTAAGCGGCCATTTTGTGTATTCATTTCATTGTGTTGTGCTGTGGCTGTACTTGTTTGATTGTATGTGTGTGTATGACCGCATTTTGAAATCAATGCGGCTGATTGCAGACCAGAGCGTAGAGAGTGGGGCACAAACTGTTGTAGCGGCAAACCGAAGCAAGACTTACCTTCAGTCTGAGAAAGCGCTGCTCGAGCCGGCTGCTCATGGCGCCCTGCCTCGTCTGGAGCACATAGATGGTGTTTATGTGCGACAAAATGTTCTCAAATGTGAGCTGCAGGTGTGGTCTAATGGCCTCCACCACCTCTATCAGCGAGCAGTTCTCCTCGGCCACTCTACGACAACGGGAGAAGGACATTTATAACGGCTAATCGCAAACAAGACGGTACCAAACATTGGCCTGCGGTTTTTTTGCACCCGTAACTCACCTGGGTATAACGCGGGATACGGCCTTGCCGGCCTGTACGATTTTCATTTGTCTATCGAACATCAGGTGGAAGGGGAACACCTTGCAGAAAGTCGCTGGCGAGATGAGTGGAGCTGCAGGCGAGGGTAGATGGCATGGCAAATGGGTTTCAACCGATTAGTCTGGCAATTAGCCAAGCAAATGGGAAAGTGCTTTTAAAGCTTTTAGTTACCTTCACAGAGAAACTCCATATCATCGCTGGCCGCCGGGTCATCCTTCTTGGCATCCACTTGCGATTTGGCGGCCACATTGATTTCACGTATCAGAAACTGTACATGGTCATAGCGTTCGATGTCATCGCTCTTGTTCTTCAGCAGGCGCAGGCACTTCTGCTCCTTGTCGCCGTCGCAGTCGAAGCTATCCTGCACAACTGGCCCACATGTCGCGCCGCCTGTGGCCTTCGATGTGGCCGGCAATTGATCGCCAGCTGTGGATTGGGTCATTACAATTGAAGATTAATCGCAATGGCAAAGAATAGCTTTGCTATGTAGGGGCAACAAAAGTTCAACTAGAGCTGGGCACGAGTCGTGTTTTATGTCGTGACATGAATATATGTGCCTTAATGCGCTTTGTTAGAGTTAAAAAACTAACACAACTAACACGGAAAGCACAAGCCAGGCAAAATATTTGAAAAACATTAATTTTGTCTAATAATATGGTATTAAAAAAATGGCTATATAATAATCTATTAAGATATTTACTTTTGGTATTGTCAAATTTGAAGAAGGTATTCTTTAAAGTATATCCATGTTCAGAAACATAAAATTTAGAGGGCTATAAAATTGTTTAGAATCTTCCTTTTTGGATAAAAGTGGACGCGAGGGAAGGTAAGCTTTGGCAGGTTCGACCTGCAAGTGGTCTAAAATGGTTATAAGATTTGGCATGGAAAATTTTCAATTATAAAGCTGTCATCAATACTTTTTTCAATTTAAGGCAAAGAAGAAGCTATACATTTTACAGATTTAAGGATTGAACTGGCTAATTAGAAGTTGTGGGCTTAATTCGTAATATATTAGTATTATTTATATCATAAAATTGTGATTTACAGGAAAATAAAAATTTATTTACCATGAACCGAACCAGAAATCGGATTATTTGCTTAATAACGGCTGAACCATTTATGAAAAGTTAACTGATCTTTTCAAAAATATAAAATGTAAATATATAAAATTGGTTTACTTAAAAATTGTAGAAACACTGTTCCAATCAATTCCTGAAGCAATACTGGATTTGAACCTGGGCTCAATTGATAAACCTAAGTGAGAGCCATGAGGTCGAGCCGTAAACTAAAACAACAAGAATTTTTGTAAGACTTGTATTTGTTAAATGCAAAATGAAATCAAAGCAAATGTCGTGACTGTCGTGTTCTAATACCTAATGACACATTAAATCCCAAATCCCAATTGGGTTCGGCTGGTAGTAGGATATTTCAAACATAAACCAGCGGTTCGCTTTGCGTTCAAACGTTTTCTGCTGACTATCGCAATAATGTTATTAACAGGATATTATCAGGCAATCGTACAGTTGAAGCAGCATATTGGCCGGTCTAGTCATTAGACCCGCTGATAATAGGGCACAGAATGGGCCTAGAGCAAAATTGTTGGCCTGAATTTTGTTGGCTTACCCGGCTCGCTGGCAATTTGCTGACCATCGTTGTTGTTGTTGATGTTGTTGCTGCCGTTGTTGATGCCATTGTTGTTGTTGGCATTGTGATTATTATTGTGCTCGGCGTTTGCTGGTGCGGCAATTGCAGTGCCTGCAACTTGAACTGGTGCAGACGCTTCAGCAGCAGCAGAAGCAGCCGCAACACTTGCTGTGGCATCCGATCCGGCAGCCGACGTCTCAGTTTCCAATTGTTGCTGTTCGCGTGCCAGGGCGCGTTCCTTCTCGGTCTCATCGATGGGCTCACCTTTGCGCTTCACAATGTCAATTTCCACCTCGACACCGTGCAGCTTCGATGCAACGGCCTGTGAAAGATAAGCGGGGTCAGCAGCAGCAGCAGCAGAGTGGTTGGGATAGGAGCGGATGTTAACTTCTGGTTAGGTGAGTGACCACAGCGTTTACCTTGACTATGCCGATGACAATGTGCTCTAGAC